ATTATTCACACGTGTGATGACGTGAATGTTTGGGAGGCATGTGGCTGTTTGTATCTATATTATTGACACGTGTGATGACGTGAATGTTTGGGAGGCACGCTGTTTGTATCTATATATTTTGTGATGACGTGAATGTTTGGGAGGCATGTGGCTGTTTGTATCTATATTATTGACACGTGTGATGACGTGAATGTTTGGGAGGCATGTGGCTGTTTGTATCTATATTATTGACACGTTTGTGATGACGTGAATGTTTGGGAGGCATGTGGCTGTTTGTATCTATATTATTGACATTGACGTGAATGTTTGGGACATGTGGTGATGACACGTGTGTGAATGTTTGGGAGGCATGTGGCTGTTTGTATCTATATTATTGACACGAATGTGATGACGTGAATGTTTGGAGTTTGTATCTATATTATTGACATGTGATGACGTGTGAATGTTTGTAGGCATATACTGTTTGTATTATATTATTGACACGTGTGATGACGTGAATGTTTGGGAGGCATGTGGCTGTTTGTATCTATATTATTGACACGTGTGATGACGTGAATGTTTGGGAGGCATGTGGCTGTTTGTATCTATATTATTGACACGTGTGATGACGTGAATGTTTGGGAGGCATGTGAATGTGTTGACGTGAATGTTTGGGAGGCATGTGGCTGTTTGTATCTATATTATTGACACGTGTGATGACGTGAATGTTTGGGAGGCATATGGCTGTTTGTATCTATATTATTCACACGTGTGATGACGTGAATGTTTGGGAGGCATATGGCTGTTTGTATCTATATTATTGACACGTGTGATGTATCATGTATGTTTTATCTATATTATTGACACGTGTGATGACGTGAATGTTTGGGAGGCATGTGGCTGTTTGTATCTATATTATTGACACGTGTGATGACGTGAATGTTTGGGAGGCATGTGGCTGTTTGTATCTATATTATTGACACGTGTGATGACGTGAATGTTTGGGAGGCATGTGGCTGTTTGTATCTATATTATTGACATTGACGTGAATGTTTGGGAGGCATGTGGCTGTTTGTATCTATATTATTGACACGTGTGATGACGTGAATGTTTGGGAGGCATGTGGCTGTTTGTATCTATATTATTGACACGTGTGATGACGTGAATGTTTGGGAGGCATATGGCTGTTTGTATCTATATTATTCACACGTGTGATGACGTGAATGTTTGGGAGGCATGTGGCTGTTTGTATCTATATTATTGACACGTGTGATGACGTGAATGTGTGACTGTTTGACTATATTATTGACACGTGTGATGACGTGAATGTTTGGGAGGCATATTATTGGCTGCATGTTTGTATCTATATTATTGACACGTGTGATGACGTGAATGTTTGGGAGGCATGTGGCTGTTTGTATCTATATTATTGACACGTGATGACGTGAATGTTTGGGAGGCATGTGGCTGTTTGTATCTATATTATTGACACGTGTGATGACGTGAATGTTTGGGCATGTGGCTGTTTGTATCTATATTATTCCACACGTGTGATGACGTGAATGTTTGGGAGGCATGTGGCTGTTTGTATCTATATTATTGACACGTGTGATGACGTGAATGTTTGGGAGGCATGTGGCTGTTTGTATCTATATTATTGACACGTGTGATGACGTGAATGTTTGGGAGGCATGTGGCTGTTTGTATCTATATTATTGACACGTGTGATGACGTGAATGTTTGGGAGGCATATGGCTGTTTGTATCTATATTATTCACACGTGTGATGACGTGAATGTTTGGGAGGCATGTGGCTGTTTGTATCTATATTATTGACACGTGTGATGACGTGAATGTTTGGGAGGCATGTGGCCGTATGTTTATAACTGACAAATGTTGTTATTTGTTTGTTTGTATGTCATGTCAATGGTTTGATGTTTATTAATGACACGTGTAGTTTTGTGCATGTTTGGAAGGCACGTGATTGTTGTCATGTTGTCATGTGTATTGCGACAGGCATGTGAGCCACAAATGTGTCTATCCGGTTGTGTATAAACAAGTGCCTTCATGTTTGATTCAACTTTACAGTAAATATGTGAATATATAGGGTGTTAGCAACTGCGTCCATTAATGAAACTCATTATCATAAAACGCCATACAATGTACGTATTCCACGTAGTGTGAACCCAGCGTAATAAAGCACAGAGGAGTAACTCGCTGATACATAAGCAATACAAAACAACACAGTCTCAGCTTTGTTATTGTTTACTCTTGCAGGAACATTCCGGCAGTCTTCGCCTCACTGCTCACGGATGCTTACATCGTTAAGTGCCCTGCCGATCCCATGATGCACAGCCAGGGGCGAGATCTCCACTCAGCTACATCTATTGCATCATGTTACACAAACACCGTGAAATTTCTTGACTTTACAAACGGAATCGTTCCGAGAATTAGGATTCTATGCATCTCGGTGAACTGTTTTCGTGATGTCTTGCATTCATTGAACCATTCCCCAAAAGAAACAAGATTTGACGTAATTATTCACGATATGCGTTAATCCTTAATGTAGTATTACTTAAATTGTGTGTGTTAACAAAAAAATCATAATACAAGTGCGTCCGGTTTACTTGGCTGAGATACATACCGATGTATCACTCGTATTTTATCAAGAATGTTCACCAAAACAGCTAACTGTAAAAGTTGAACATACATGGAGCACATTCCTCATATTATAGAGGGGCGGTGGGGTAGCCTAATGGTTAAAGCGTTGGCTCGTCACGCCGAAAACCCGGGTTCGAATCCCCACATGGGTACAATGTGTGAAGCCCATTTCTGGTGTACCCCGCCATGATGTTGCTGGAATATTGCTAAAAGCGGCGTAAAACCAAACTCAGTCAGTCAGTCATATTATAGAAGTTGACATTCATATTGTTTCCTCTTTAAATAAATTTATAGATATATGAATTTGTAATAAATATGATAAATAGTGAAATGATTCAGATTATGTGTAAAATACAGGCAATAACTTTTAAAACGTATGTCAGATGGAAAGAAGAAAGCTAGATTTTGTTTAAACCTGTTTAATTCTACTAATTTTCCTCCAGAGTGTATGGTTACTGATGTCAGATGTTAGTCGTCAGTCCAGGTTACTTGTATTCTTCCCGACAAGGTCACAGCATACTATGTTTATTTGTCCGCCCACACACGAGCTCTCTCCTCTACCTCCGTGTTATTTTTGTGTTCATGTTTTGGTTGGAAACATGTCCAAACGAAACCTCTGGAGTGTAGTCTTCACAATAGAAGATTGCGTAGGAAGCATATATTTGCCGATCTCTTTGTTTACATATATTCTTATGCATAGCGATTATGCTAAGGTAGTTATATCACCCCTACCGGATATCTTCATTTTTATACGTCCCTTTATCTAACCTGAATTCCACACCTATTGATTGTAACCAGGTCACAGTGACCTACTCTTGCGGGGGAGGACGATATGGACGTTTTCAGTATTATACAAATACGTCAATTTAAAACATGTCCTGTGTGTGGCTCTAGTATACTACAAGGTAAACACGTAAGAATTTATAAATGGATAAAAATGAAGCAAAAATAAAATGATTAAAAGTTATTCCATTATGTATTTTGTATGGGTACCAAAACTGTTTTTGACGTTAATTTTGCAGTGTTTCGACGAAATTTTGTTGTAATGTTTTAGTGAAATCAGTTCTTTTACCCAAGTTATACACGTCCCTGTAAGTAGTGACTTTAATATTTTTCCTGATATCACAGGTTATGGAAACAGCTGTTGTAACCTTAAAATGGCTGATGACATGAGTAATATAAGTACTATAGGTTCCAATGTTTCGAACATATTCCCTGGTAGAGATATGAATATGAGTAAAGAAAAATAATCTGTAAAATCAATTTTAACAAACAATTAGAATCATATTGTGATGATATTGAACACTCACTAATACATTATTCGAATTATCTACGTTTCAGCTACACTCCTGTAACGATTCCGAACTTCTATATAAAGGGAACGGGAATTCATAAAATCGGATATATCGAACTCACTTTGAGATCGTTATATTTGAAGTTTACTGAACTTGTGGACATGTCTTAGACAGACAGACAGACAATTTTATTCAATAAAAGGCCAGTCCCATCATACAGTCATTTACATATGATATTGATAGTACAGTGCACGTGCTGTTTAAGACGAACATTTCTAACACCTTTTATGATACAGTCATTATTTGATTTCATAATGTTGATAAATTTGGCATTTGGATCAAAATCAGTCAAATATTTCTGAATATACCTTAATCATAAATCGAATAAACGTTCACACTTAATGAGTACATGAATTTATTCATCAATAACATTTTGTCTTTCAATTTACAAAATACCATTGTAATTAACTTTATTGTATCTTCCAGTTTCAAATGCTAAATTAAAATTACCACATCTAAATTGGGACAGTGCAGATCTGAGATGTAAAGGAATAACAGAATTTATATATCTTTCCACATTTAAAAATGTCTTAAATTGGGAGTAATAAAAACATTTATTAGAATTTTGAATTGAAGTGAACCAACATTGTTTATGACTATCCGAATGTCTCTGCATAAATAAAGATGTCTTAGAAGGTCACATGTACTGGTAGGTAACAAAAAAAGTCAAGTGCAGTCTCTGTGTCACCGTTCTCGCTTCAGTAGTCCCCCAACCCTTCGCCCCTCCCGTCTGACTGAACGCCGTGACGTCACAGGTACCGGAACCCGCTGGACCCTATCATAACGTGATGGCATACTCATACCTTACTATTAAGCTTAGAAAGTATTTCGAAATTATTGACAAGTAATGTAGATCTACGAAGTTCAAAGTGCGACCCGGAAATGAGCTTTCCTTGATGACTTTTTCCGGTGCGTGTGTCAGTGTTTGTCAAAATCCGTTAGTCTAAATTTATCCCCCTCCACCGGCTGATTGTGGCCCGAGGGTATATAAGGCGCTGCAGTGTGGGTGAAATCAATTCAACAGTGATCAGGCTGACGGTCATTCACAAAGAAACGTAACTTATAGTGACAGTATGAAGATAGTGCTGCTGGCTCTCCTAGGAGTGCCTCTGGTATTCGGGGCAGCGTTACACAGAGAAGAGGGATCAGAAGATGCTCATGACATCGAGAAGCGAGGGGCATTTGACATGGTGGTGAGTATGGAGATATTGGATTGATAAACATATTTTTTTTATGAGTGAGGAGCGAATATGGTTTTACGCCGCTATTAGCAATATTCATGCAATTATCACGGCGGGGACACCAGAAATGGGCTGCACACATTGTACCCCTGTGGAGAATCGAACCCAGGTCTTTAGCGTGACGAGTGAACGCTTAACCTTTAAGCTACCCTGCCGCCCCTGATTAGTGGGGAGTATGCCCTGGTAGTAATGGCAGTAATAGTAATGGCAGTAATAGTAATGGCAGTAGTAGTAATGGCAGTAGTAGCATTATCAAAATACGTTTAGTGTTTTTTGTTCCTGTCTTTTGCTGCATATTTAATTCCAACTGGGTATAACGAACTACGGTTATAACGACGACATTAGATGTCCCGTTGTCTTCGTTATAACCGTACTTTACGTTAGCTGTCATAAGAAACAGTAGTATTAGAGTAGTAGATGGTGAAGTGCAAGTAGAAGTAGCAACCGCTGATTGTGGTGGTAGTACTAATTGCAGAAGGTGATTTTGGCTACTAAGGGTTATAGTAATATCCTAATGTACATACCATGGAACCTCGTTAGTCTGGAAACTCCACATTACGGACGACTACATGTGTATAAAATTAAAAATAATCCGCATCCACTCATTTAATTCTGAAATCTTTTAAACTACAGGACTACTTGGAACGGTACGGCTACCTCAACACCGACTACAACACCGAGGACGATGGCGGTCCCATATTCCACTCCGAAGTCGAGCTGGAATACGCTCTCAGGTAAAGGAAAGCATTGATGGACGTATTCTCAGAATGTCATTACTGCTTATCACTATACCCACAGGAGGCGTGTCCATATCTAATGCACAGTATCCAATTCAACGTGTCATTTTCTGTCATCATTTATCTCAAGTATCTCCAACATAACCTTGAGCAGAGAAACCCAAGAACTAATACCAGCTTAGAATAAGAACCAGAAACCTGTGCTGGTCTTACAAGGAGGCTAAGTCTAGTAGGCTGGGAGATGTCGTCTATCGCGAGTTATATACGGTAATCCGACGTCCTGAGCGGATGGCTAGAATTATTGATCTGGGATCGATTATATACTGCCGAGAGCTACGTTGACAGCAAACACCATTCACCTCAAATTAAAATAATTTAAAACATATTGACATCCAGAGTTATCTTTCTTTCAGGAAGTTCCAGGAGTTCACCGGACTTCCGGTAACAGGCATGATGGACAGGAAGACGTATGAGCAGATGAACAAGCCTCGTTGTGGGTTTAGGGATATTCCGAAAGAAGCTGATCCTAACCAGCCGCTGGGTTATACACTTCTTGGTGAGACCATCTTACATTACATTGTTTGTGTTCTTGTGACATCAGGGGGGTAGTCTAGTGGTTAAAGCGTTGGCTCGTCACGCCGAAGACCCGGGTTCGAATCCCCACATGGGTACAACGTGTGAAGCCAATTTCTGGTGTCCTCCGCCGTGATGTTGCTGGAATATTGCTAAAAGCGGCGTAAAGTCAAACTCAGTCAGTCAGTCAGTCTTGTGACATTTACACTTCGGCTGTTATTTACAAACGCTGTAGCTCTTGAAATGTTTCTGCCTGCAGGAGAAGGGTTTCACACTGCTTTAAACACCAGTACATAACAACACAATCGGCGTTGTGTATTCACACCAAAAATTACTCTAGGATGAGCGATAAACGTGTATGAAAAAATCTACATAGACCGATCTATGCATGACCCTGGATCATAATTAGAGATGGTGTTAAAATCGAATCTACAAACAGAACCATTTATTGCTAGGTGACTCAACAGCTACATGTAATATCGAACATAAATCACAAAGGTACTGGATGTCTCATGGGTCTATATGGATGTATGTATGTTTACAGGAGGGAGTCTATATGGATGTATGTATGTTTACAGGAGGGAGTCTATATGGATGTATGTATGTTTACAGGAGGGAGTCTATATGGATGTATGTATGTTTACAGGAGGGAGTCTATATGGATGTATGTATGTTTACAGGAGGGACGTGGCCAAAAGAGGAAATTACCTGGAAAACAGTGGCATGGACCAACCAGATGGGTCAGTCGGTGCAGAAGTAAGTACTATACCACGACAACAAACTGACATATATTACAGGGGACTAGTCCCATTCAGGGTGACAGGTATAGCAAGTTTGTACCCGTGAAGATCTGGGTTAGAATTGGTCTTCAGCAACCCATGCTTGTCGTAAGAGGCGACTAAAGCGATCGGGTGATCAGCGATCGGCTGACTTGGTTGACACATGTCATCGAATCCCAACTGCGTAGATCGATGCTCATGCTGTTGATCACTGAATTGTCTGGACCAGACTCGATTATTTACAGACCGCCTCCATATAGCTGGAATATTGCTGAGTGCGGCGTTAAACCACAAACCAACCAACCATAGTAAGTTTGATTCAAGTCACAATGCCTAGGCCTTAGTGTCAGTTCCACTAGAGGTATTGGTAAGGTAAAACGCCTCTACCTTGACCGGAAGTGGACACTAGACTGGAGTGAAATCCGATAACTAAACGTTATCCACTTGCTTTTGTGGGAGTATCTTCACTATTTTTACCTTTTTTTAGTTACCTTTACAAAACGTCTCGTATACATCTATGCTAATAACACGCTAACTTATCAGAGTTCAGTTTGTATATTGAGTCATAAGGCGACACTTTCTTACACTTAATAACCTTCCTTATTAGACGGGCCATGGAGAACGCCTTCAAGTACTGGCAGGCAGTGACTCCGTTGACCTTCAAATACACAGACGGGACCCCTGACATTGAGGTCAAGTTTGCACGCGGCGAGCACGGTGATGGAGCATACAACGCCTTTGATGGAAAAGGTAAACATTCGAATATGAAACCGTTTCTTTTTGTTACATTCGTTTCGTTTAAGAGTGAGTCAGTGGAGATTCACGTCACTTCCAAACATCGCAGCTGGAGTTACAAAAAAAGAAATTATTTTCGGAATCGACCCAGGACCCACATCGTGATGAGGAAACAACAATGTCACCAAGGGACCTTTGTAATAGAAGATAGACACAATCGGAATAATAATGTCAAATTTGCAAAATACTCGATATGTTGTCCTTGCCTTTATCGGTTTTCTTTATTATTCTTATATATTCTTTTTATGATACGGCCTTCTTTACATTTCGTCACGATATAGCTGAAATACTGACGACATGACATCAGTTTTTAATTTACTCACCTTATATTTCTATATATTTCAGGCAAGACGCTTGCGCATGCGTTTGGCCCGGGAACACATCCAATCAACGGCGACACCCACTTCGATGATGACGAGGAGTGGACATATCACGATGACCGCGGTACAGACCTTGAAACGGTTGCTGCTCATGAATTTGGACACGCCCTTGGTCTTGGACATTCTGGAGTTCGAGGATCTCTCATGGCACCGTACTACCAAGGTTACGATCCCAACTTTAAACTACACAGCGATGACATCAGAGCAATACAGACTCTCTATGGTAAGGGTGGTCACTTTAGACATGTCCAAGAAAATCTGACTTGGGTCCACTTGCAGAAATCGATCTTAAAGAGCATTTTTTTAAAGTATACAAAATACAAGAAGTCTAAGAGTTTCTGGGTTATATGGTGATTCTATTACTATGACGTAAGTGGTATTATTGTTCTATGCGCAACTGCTTTTGTCCGAATATTTTGAACCGGAAAAGGTCTGTGGCATACAAACCACTTTCCGTCCGTAATTAAGAGAGGTAGATAAATCCTGTTATCACAAACTCATACCTGATCCTTAAGTTGTGTCATTTAACCAAACTGTAACTGTATATCGGACATGACAAAGTATTGTAAAGGTTTTCACAAGTCCGTATACCATGACAGGTACGAGTTAAATAGCTTTCGGTAGCTTCATTTTGTTTTCCGTGTTTCATTTTCTGTTTCGACTCAAAATCGAGACTTGTTATATTCTGGCTTTGACATTTTATATATTTCACATTTTATTAGGGTCTAATCCTAACCGCCCAACTACAACACCCGCAACAACACCAACAACAACAACAACACCAACGACGACAACGACCAAGCCACCAACTACTACCAAAGGGGCAACAAGTCCAAATGCCGATTACTGCTCGACCAAATTAGACGCCATCGTCACGGGTAAGAACCTAGTATTAAATGTTCTTGAGGTTCTGCAAGAATCATTCCCAGAGCCATGCGAATGTCTATCATGCCGATGGACTTGTTAAATGAATGACTGCTGAAGTTTTTTACTTTGGTTCCAAAAGAATGACTGTGTAGTAAATCGCGTTTTTCAGCAGTTGTAAAATCAGAGGTTCCACAAATCTGTCTACCTACCTCCATTTTCCACGAATTTGTGTAGATGTGTTATTGAGTGGACCCAGCACAACGATAATGGGCTCAGCACACTGTTTCCATCAGTTCCCGGAGTAACGCCCCAACCATTTCACTGCGAGAACTCGTAAAGTGTTGACCTAAAAACTACCCTCAAATATTACAGGCACAGTAATTTAATTGCACACGTTATAACACAACATTCACTCACTAGTGGAGTAATTATTAATAGTATATGATATATTTGAAACGTATATGATATCATTCTTGATAAAATTACATCGTTGTCTGCAAGGATGGAAAAACAGCTGAACTAGAAAATATACCTGATTGTGTCGCCCGCTCTTCCCATGCTCATGACGGCATTGTTCTTTGTACGCAGCTTCCGACGGTTTCACATACGCCTTCCGGTATCGCAAGGTATACAAACTGGGTAGCCGGGGTCTAGAGGCTGGCTACCCCAGACCAATCAGGGACGTGTACCCCCGGGCACCGGGCAAGATCAGAGGCGCATTCTACATGCCCGAGAACAGGAAGACCTACTTCTTCAAAGGTCAGTATACATCAACTTTACGGAAACCTGGTTATTCACAAGCTGCCTTGTCGTCTACGCAGTGAAATATTGCTCTCCTGTTGAAAATGCTCGTCCTGAATTTGCAATGATAGAAAAACACAATATTTTATTCCAATATATTAATGTTGACTTCTCTGTTAGGACCTCGAGTGTGGAGGTACACCGACTTCGAACTGGACACAGGCTTCCCCAAGACCATATACACAGCAGATTTCCCTGAGAACATTCACGCCGTACTCAACATGCAGGACAGCTACGGCAAGAGTCGCATCTTCATGTTCGGGGTAAGTTGTAACAAGTAACACACTTTAAAATATCCACACCATTCATGCTGGTTTTGTTGTTCCTTTTGTGTGTGTGTAATCCAGTGATTAACATCATGAGTACTGTAAATACCATTACATGTATCACCCCAGCCCGCGGGCTTGAGACATTGTTAGCCTAGACCCACTCAAACTTTTACTGGACCGATGTGATTATAATAGATGCTATTCACAAACAGATGACGAACGGATGTTTTCTTATTGAATAATATCCTGATCTCGTTTATGAAATTATAACGTATTTACTGTACTAAAACCCCTTGATATTCCGGCGTGTGGTTTATCTGAACATCTTCAAGGTGTGAGTGTATTCCCAATGTGGAACATTATAGGATGTAGGACAAATGAATAATGAATATCCCCACCCTACAATATTTGAGAATCGAACCCTTTGTGACTAGACAACGCTTGAACCACACGGCTACCCTACAGTGAATGGATGAAATTCAGACTTCACCAGAATATTGATCCGTACCGCGGTATTACAACGTCTGTTATGTTCTTCATCTTACTATAGACATTCGGGATGTCATCATTAACTATAACGACGTATAATATCTATTTTACAGAGTAACAAGTTCTGGGAGTGGAACCCCAACACCCTACAGATGGTTCCAGGGTGGTCGTACAACATCGAGGACCACTGGCTGGGAATCCCCCGGGGGGTGGAGGCAGCTGTCAAGTGGTATGACGGACACATGTACTTCTTCAAGGGAACAAAGTAAGCAGACATTTTCACTGAGTGGAGAACGTAAATAACATAAAATAAATTTAAGAAAAAACATCGAGTATTTTTTCAACTTGCTTGCACGAGTAGATAAGCTGTACTGACAATGGAAACAGTTGTAAATTTTGAGTGGATGGCATGCCGCTCTCTGAATATATCTTCGGTCATAAAGTTGTACACTCAAACCTCCTTTATCCAGGCACTTGCGTTTTCTCGAATATTGCCCAGACAAAATATACACCTGTTCCGTCATTATAAATCAATGGTATGACAGAGAGGCTCTGTTAATACGGAACCCCTCCTATACAACTCACAACTCATGATTCCTCAGACCAAACGATTGATGACACCGACGTCAGTCTTATAACGATAACGAGACTGGAACGAGATCTTGCGTGAACTACTATGGTCATAACCTTAAAGGAATAACATTACACTGTTCTATTTTGGCACATGATTCACCATTTACGTTTCTGACAGTATGGTGTGTTTCTAGTTTCAGAAAGTTTAACGATTATTACCGTACTGTGGAACCCGGTTACCCCAAGCCCTGGGCGCCAGTCTGGATGCGGAATGTGTGTGAAAGTGCGTCGCTTCGCCAACAGGAGGCGGGAGTCGAGTTAGACGCGGGAAGCAATACAGAGTTCGATTGGGACATGGGAAGACAGCGGGATATCCCAAATATTCCTATTTTCCTACAGTGAAACATCTAGCTGAGATTCCCGTGTACCTCTCGTCATTTAACTGAGATTAGATCAATTCTATTTACAGAATTTATATTTATTTTACAAAAGATTGTGAACCAGGGGATCTTATTTAAAGCAGAGTAGGGGACCACAATTATAGCTAGTTCGATGGCTTAGGAGACGCATGGAAATTTTAATTTGGATATTTAATTTAATTTGGATATTAACGCAATATTTCAGTTGTCATGTTTTCCGTACTTAAACTTGATTCGTCCATTGATAGAAATATATGATAGTTATTATAACTTAATATACTGCTGTCAATCCGTTGTTAATGAAAACGTTTACAGAGACTGTTATGTGTTGGAAACTGTAGATTGTGTTGAAGTGTGAACCGGTAATTTGTCTTGTTCCGTGTTGGCTATTGCTAAGGGTACAGTTAACCCCGCTGTCCATACAACCGGGTTGTAGACAATCATTTTGATTCTCATATTTAAAGAATATTTATTTCTACATTTTTATTTTTACCTCATGTTTTTATTTATGTTTTATAATAAAAAACATTAAGTATATATGTTGATTGTTTGACTGATTTATCCGCTAGTCTGGAAGGTAATGTTTGGAACGGTTACATATGGAGCAATATACTCATGCCAATAATGGTTGCCACCCCCTTGAATTGTTTTAATTTTGGTGAGGGGGGGAATTGTGAGGTGTGGGGTGTTGGGTTGGGGGTGACAACCATTATTGGCATGAGTATATTTAACTTAAAATGAAATAAAGAAAGAATTTGTTTAAACAAAGGTATGACGTGGGACTAATACATTGATTTGAGGAGTTTGGTGTGAAATGTTCATGCTGAAGACATTCACATTGAGGCCATGTACATTACAGACATACACATTCACTACATTCACGACTCTAACATCACGGGGCGGTGGGGTAGCCCAGTGGTGAAAGCGTTCGCTCGTCGCGCCAAAAACCCGGGTTCGATTCCCCACATGGGTACAATGTGTGAAGCCCGTTTCTGGTGTCCCCCGCCGTGATATTGCTGGAATATTGCTAAAAGCGGCGTAAAACTAAACTCACTCACTCACTCTAACAGCACGCAAAGTCTTTCGATGAGCTCCCGACAGATGGACAATAACTGTGTGACGTTTTCATGAAAAACACGTACCATGTCGCCAACAAATATCCAACATGTATGATCATGCACGCGCAAATTATTACCTACGACCTCAAAAGGAGATGGGATGTCGTTAATATATTAATGCAGTAGATTATTTCAGAATATATATATTTTTTCATTGACGTTTCACTGAAGCAAGGTTTCTGTTCTGTACATGTAACATCATGATTGTAGCGATGATGGGACAGTCATGTATGTCCGTGGGTATGTATAGATGTGGTTGTCGAACGACAACCACATCTATACATACCCACGGACATACATGACTGTCTGCTGATGCCCTGTGATCGATATGGGTGTTGAATTATTGGCTGTTGGGGACATACACAAAGACTCAAACTGAAACACCTCAATGCAAGTGTCATCGGCCACTTCGTTCAGCAGACAACCCGTAAAACTGATTGTACGATCGCTTCATACAACAAATTGTCTCACCCGTCACACAACTCTGCTTTGATGTCTGCCGCGTTTGCTTGTTTGTTTTTTAAAACAACCAAACAAAATAAGCATAATTAAAACACAATTATAATTTTATCATGATATATAATATACATTGCCGATTATGAAAAACAACAAATAAACCAAAATTATAAGCGTACAATCGCAAATCAAAAGTATTTTGTACTTGGGTTTACTTCCCTCGAAACGAAGCACCCGGGATACCAAACCCAGTCAGAGCGGGTGGGCGTGCACTTAAGTGTAAAGAAGTATTTCATTGGCTGGTTCATTTGCCGATACACTCAGGGCTCCTTGTGTGTGTTTAGAGGTGTTTGGTTTTGTAAATACATGCTCAGTTTTTGTGTATAACATTTTGCAATCAACAGACATCAAAGCATGTCATGTATCACACCTGCCTGTCTGTGTAATTACATAATGTGACAGAGACAGAACACGGATGCACGAGCCATAAATCAATGCATTTTGTTTATGGTGTATAGCCTGATAGGTGTTAAGTTCAAATTGCATGTGGTAAGTGGTCGAAGTTGTGTATTGCATATTGTCATTAGCAGACAGGCAAGCAGACAAATGAATGTCAATGAAACAGACATTGAGGTATATCTGTATCACAGTTAGAAATTCTGACACTGCTAAATATCACATTGCTTTAGAGTACTTTTCAGCTTTTAAGTTCTTGAACTGAGAAAGTGACTCGGTAAGAAGAATGTGTAGTGAAATAGCCAAATGAAATTATATAAACAGTTAAATCTGTAATCTACTGTCATAACATATAAAAAACCTCGCGCATGTGAAATATCAACAAAACATTAGAAAAAAAGCTCACATCAAAGCCTACTCCGAGTACTCACCGTCAGCGAAGCTTTTCCGTCTTGAAATGTCGAACGCCTCACTGGTTGACACATAGCTGAGTAGATCTAAATCCTTAACAAGGTTCTTTTATGTAACGAGTAGATTATTTACTATTTGTTGTTTGTGTACACAACCAAGATTAAACTACTCCTGCTCACGACCTTATAATTCGGACATCCCGCTTCAAGCTGCGCGAACCTATTAACTGAGCATGCGCTATGAGCGCAGCGCAGTACTGCTCTTGAAACCACTTTTCACCCCAGCTGGGGTGAATTTAGTGAATCGTTTGAACCCCGATTTCGCGGGGTTTTTTCATCGCGTTATTTTTCAACTTGATAAGTTGATTTTGCATTTTTGATAAATTGTTACTGTAAGTCCATACCGAAAAGTTTTATGAATCTGCAAAGTTGTGTTTTGCGTTGCATGTAAGCTTTAACGCCACATTCAGCAAAATTTTACAATACAGTGATTGATATCATGAGCATCGATCTACGCAGTTTGAGCACAGTGTAGACAGTCGTTGTGAAGGAAGATGATCATAAACTCAAATTTAATATATCAAAAGTGAAACTCACATTTACTATCCTCTACCAAACTGTTAGGAATGTTTAGTATTCTGGCGTTCTAATGTTTAACGTCATGATAATTATCGCGTGATTGAGTGTACATGTTTCTGCTTCTGCCAACAGATTAAATCACTATTAAAGTTTCTAGATATACATGCTGGCACGACATTGTGTGATACTCGATTCTGATTGGCTGAGAGTTTATCAAAACCGTACTTAAATGGCAGTTCAACAACCGCTAACGCGTTCGGTTTTTAAATTACTTTTAGCGGTCTTAAATCCACGACAAAGGTCCGCAAATTGAAAACAGAGTAGCTTTATCTTCGAGTTGATTTTTTATACTTCTTACCGCAGTAGGACCAAGATACAGTGGTACCTTCACAAGACAGGTTGTGGGTGGCCCGCACGGGTCATATAGAAGACAAAGTAAAATTACCTTGGTCTAGTTAGATGGGTGCTCGACAGCAAGGCTCCTGAGAGTTACAAGAGACTCTACCCTGAATCTATCGAAAGAAACGAAACACATGTGGTGTCTCCTTAGGCGGGAGAGAAATATGCCAGAAAGGGGTACCAGGAAGGATGAAGACGTAATGCGACAGTCAATCTTCTAGCGACTCACAACAAGCAGTAATGTGTACTTCCAGGGATCTGCAGTTGCAGAGTGAAACCTGACGTATTATTCAATAACTGGTTATGTTTTAAAGATTCAAATACAATGTATATGCATGCAGCAAAAAGGTTTCGGGTGATCTTGGTCGGCAGGCTGGTTGAGCTCACCATCAGGACCCCTTTACACGAATCCCCGACAGCGACACAACCCAACGGTACACTAGAACATATCTGCAATCACTGACAAGGTGTTGGACAGTCTTTTAAAATGCATTACAAAATTTACATTAATTTTCTTGTTGACACTTTGATGGAAATTCAAACATTATTTTTTGATTGAAACATATTTTATTCAATTAAGAAACGGATTGGGCACAAGTTATCCAACTTAAATAAGCCCTCTCCACATAGTTACAAGTGTATATTACAAAAAAGTTCAACAAGAGGCAGACAAAGGGTATAGATATGTACAGACAGAGTTATTTAAATCGTTTAGTGTTATGGATGTAGATATGTACACTTTTAAAAACATTCTGATTTTCGCTAAGCGAGAGACCTGCATTGCCATTTAAGATGAGATTAATATCAATACATGCTCTATTATTCACTATATTTTCTAAAGAGGTTAACATTTGTTCTCTTTGAATTATATATAATGGACATTCAAGAAAATAATGAAAAGCATTTTCACAATTATGGCCACACTGACAAAGTGCATCATTTCTAACATTAATTCTGAATAAATCATAATTAAGTGTACTTGTCATATATCTTAATCTTGTATGCAAAACATTTAGTTTCCTTTTCCCATATGAGAAATATACGGGTGCACATTTTTGTTTCACATGAACTGCAGTTTTAAAAGACACAACAGATTTACAGTTTCTGATAGCTAAGGGGATGTTATTCCACAGTTTAATTGTTGATGGAAAAAAGGATAGAGTCGAATATCGTAGTCTTGTACAGGGTTGAGTGTAATTACTGGAGTTTCTTAATTCATAATTTGTTCGACTACCTACTACAGGAGGGAGTAAATCATAAAGAAAACTTGGAGCAAGGCCTGTATGTATCTTATAAAATAACGATAATTTTTTCACCCTTCTTCTCTCAGATAGTAAATTCCATCCCGTTTCAAAGTATAATGATCTAGAAGAAGCATATCTCTGCAGACCAGTAACTATACGAGCCGCTTCAAGTTGTAACTTTTCTAATCTATTAGATTCTTCAATAGAACACCCGTCCCATACTTCAGATGCGAACTCGAAATGTGGTCTTATGAATACAGTTGTATATGCTTGACAATGTTGTTCTATTCAGGAGAAACTTTCGAAATGCTCCAATCATTTTAGAAGTCTTTTTAACAATACTTTCAATATGATGGTGCCAACCCCCATTACATGAAAATGTTAGTCCCAAATGTTTATGAAAGTCAACTGGTTTTACATGACAATTGTCAAATTTCAAATTAATGTCTGTTTGGCCATCTTTCGTCGTAAATAACATAGCTTCCGTTTTGTCCGGATTATAAGAAATTAGCCAGTCCTTTGCCCAATTACATAATATTTGTAGATTTTCTTTCATTATTCTTTCCATCAACTGCTTTTCTTTTGACAAGGCTCCCAGTGACGTGTCGTCAGCGAAAAGCCGAGTTATACAATGTAGTTTATCTGCTATCTCATTTACATACACAATGAAAAGAAAGGGACCTAAAACTGATCCCTGTGGAACTCCTGCTTTTAAAACCAAAGGCTTAGATAACGAGCCGTGAACAGAAACTGATTGATTGCGACCACTTACATAACTATCAAACCAGTCAAGTAACTTTCCACTTACTCCGTACCTCTCCAATTTAAGCATAAGCCCTCTGTGCCAAACTCTATCAAAGGCCTTAGATACATCGCAAAAGACCATACAATAGTGTTCTTTGTTATCTAGTGATATACAGATTTGGTTATAATTCAAACATTAACAATTGCGAGCTGGAAGTGACTGGTCCTGAACAGCAAAGCTAATAAATTCACGTTGTTACAACTTTATGCTTTCGTTGTATCGATCTGCGCAATTGGGAAACGATGACAAGTTTCAACCAAGTCAGTGAGCCTGACCACCCCATCCCGTTAGTCGCCTCTTACGACAAGCATGGGTTACTGAAGATCAATATTCTAACCCGGACCGTCACGGGTAAGGTCCGGGTTAGAATATTGATCTTCACGGGTAAGGTCGGAATGCTGTTTTACCTTGTCTCTTTGTTAGTCTAGGATTTCTTTATCTCAAAATTCTCCATCAGATGCCAGGTGTGGTTTCAGTGTTTTTAACAATGCAACAATGTGTGCCTAGTTAATAAATGAAACGTTTACCTTGTGTGTGTCCTAGTGATTAAAGCGTTCGCTCCTTACTCCGAAGGCCCGGGTTCGATTCCCCACATGGGCACAATATGTGCCCATTTCTGGTGTACCCTGCCGTGATATTACTGGAATATTGCTACAAGCGGCGTAAAACCCAACTCACTCACTCACTCACTCACTCACTCACTCACTCACTCACTCACTCACTCACTCACTCACTCACTGTCCATGATACTCTGTTTTCGCCATGTTGATGCCTCGGATCACAATTTTCTTCTCATAGTTTTATGTGTGCATATACAAAGTCTTCACCATCGATAGACAGAGATATTGGCAATGAAGACGCACAAAGACGTGTTTGTGAAAGTGGGCACTACGTATGATCGGGACGTTGCCAATATCTCTGTCTGAGTTCCTAGAGCATGTGAGCAATAACACACTTTACCGGTTTAACCTTTCCACGCATGCGTCTATATTCATCTGAATTGATGAGGTGCTCCGGCGTGTCAATCTCAGTTGACAGTAGTCATGGAAACCTGATGTTATGCATCATGATATCAACCTCTGGTTTGTCTAATCCGGAATGGATTATGTACAAACCAACGTGATATGACTTAATCAGCATCAACTGCATGAAACACATGTATATCCGGTTACAGTATACCTGATGACAAACTCACTGCATTGAAGCATCACGATGTCCTTCAGTTTGTTCTAGGGTGGTAAATCATCCGCTTGTCACGCTGAAGACCCGGGTTCGATTCCCCACATGGGTACAATGTGTGAAGCCCATTTCTGGTGTCCCCCGCCAGGATATTGATGGAATATTGCTAAAAGCGGCGTAAAGCCACACTCACTCACTCACTCAGTCTATTGGAATTCCTTACTTGCAGACAGGCCATTTTCACTAGATTCCTTCTGTTTATGGAGTTCGACACAATATCTTGCAACTAACTGCACAAAGTTTCTCAAATTCTTGGTTTTATTCTCTGTCTCCAAAAGCATGATTGTCGGTATGTGCCAGATATGTTGAGTAGGTAGAGCTGGCCTCTGTAATCCTTGCAGCGCTGGCTGAGTGCCACAATACACGGAAGGTGTAGATCGGCGCTAACGCTTTCAATCACCTGTTTCTGACGTTTAAAAAATTCATTTTCATAGACTTCTTTTTTTATCAACACAATTCGATTTACATGTGAAACGAAAACAGACCTTTCAATTTGCGAGTTAAACTGTAGTGAGGTTTAAATGATACTTCAGTCTTGCGGCTATGATTACATCTGGAGAGAACAAAATGTCACAGCACCAGAGCATTTAATATATGATTTAACACAAAAGGCTAAAAGATATGTATTTTCAAAAGTGGCACTTTTCACTATGTTTACACAATAAGTAAAACCATTACTCGTGTTTTAAATCATTCATTCTCACAGAAAAATATCTTCTAGACATTAATGTTAAGAAATTCAGAACAGCACTAGCCCGTTTCAGATGTAGTTCCCATGATCTTCTAATAGAAAAAGGTAGGCATTTAGGGATACCACGGGAAAAACGATTGTGTAAATATTGTACTTATCAGGAGTTAGAAGATGATTATCATTTCTTGCTTGTTTGTCCATTGTATGCAAATATCAGAAAAGAATACATAAAGAAATGTTTCTACTTGAACCCCGAATAGACAAATTCTATACCCTCATGGCATCCCAAAATCAAACAGCCACAAAATACCTTGCAATGTATATATACCATGCCATGAATATGAGATCCTCTGCATTACAGATGTGATATCATTTACTATATATTCATTTATATTGCACCCTCTGCTACTGTATGTTAAATGTACTATAGGTCTACGGCCTCTTCAGTACTGTAAATAAAGATTGATTGAAAGATTGAAATGATCCCCATGGGCTTTCTGCATGTACATGCATTGACAAGGGTTAGCGTAGACCCAAAAGTTATTTCTGGTCTTACTTGGAATGTCTTATTGCAGGTTAATCACGATCTTTCATCGAACAACATTTGGTATTTCCGGAGGTTATCGACAATTTGCGTTGTCGGATTAGCGAAAAAAGCTGGAATTATCCTTTTGAAAAACGTTTTGTTACATTTATAAGCCTCATAAAACATTATTATAAATAACGAATTAGGTTTCGATCATCTAGATTCCATAAGCAAAATGGTGTTGAAAACGTTTTTATTACACCTGGAATGACACAAATGGGGATCGAACCCAATATCAAAACATACTGGCAAATCAGGGCATCAACCCTACTGGATTTCGTATATATGATATATAATGACACATATAATTAATGACACAGAGCGCAAGGTGAAATGAGGTTACAGTGTCTTTCAAGGCCATTGCACCTGTATATACGTCCATGCACGTGCGGTGTCTCCCAGTTTAAAGTGGTAACCCATGGGCCATTGGCCAATGAGTGAGTGAGTGAGTATCGTTTTAGCAATATTCCAGCAATATCATGGCGGGGGACACCAAAAATGGGCTTCGCACATTGTACCCATGTTGGGATTCGAACCCAGGCCTTCGGCGTGACGAGCGAACGCTCTAACCACTAGGCTATCTCACCGCCCTCATCATGTCGCCCGGTAACATGAATACCAAACGGAGATCTAGTACTGTGACGGACACCCAGCCCTTGTTTCACTATTAATGCTGAGTGACAGGCAAGGTAACAAAAAGTACCATCATTTAACGCCTTTTGGTATGGCTTGGCCGTGGATCGAACAGCAGTCTACTGCTCTCCAGGCAACCGCTGACCCACTACACCATGTGGTTAGATGAGTAATGTGACATTTTATATAAATAATACACAAAAACGAAAAAAGTCTTTTTTTCTTTATTGTGAAAGGTGTAAAATGTTCTTTCACTCGCACATATATATACATAAATAGATAGATATATATCCAAAAATAGTCGACAAAGATACATTTGAGCACTTGGTGATATTTACAACATTTTGCATCAACATATTTTGAACATAATACCTTTACGACGTCATGGTCCCGCGCATATTGCGGTTCTCAACAGTTAGTAAATATATACGTATGTGGTATGTATAAAGTGAGTTAGTCTTCAATCTGAATGGAGTGTCATTTGTTACATACACAGTTAATATCACAGTTTGTTGGTGTATATGGAATGTTGACGTCACACGTTGCATTAAGTCGGGTGGGTTAAGCTGGATGAGCAAACATTCAGACAAAAGGTGCATGCGTGGGTGGCTTTGGATTTCGTTCAAGAAACTTAGATGGACCAAAACATATTACAATTAAATAAATACTGAAGCTACACAGTAGTCCGATACATTGGAGATGTTTATAGCAACATGTACGTATAAGTTCAAAAACAATAAATATGCAACACACACTTGTTTTTGTTCATACAGAACACAGGTGACTCACGTTTCGTCATAAAGAAAATTCACAGATCCTCATAATAGTCATATAATAACACACACACACACACACACACACTCACACACACTCCCATATATTCATATATACACTTCAGCGATAACTCCTTGTTCATTAATTAATTTCAAGAGATAACAGATTATGAAATATAATTTTAAAGAATTAAATTGTTTGTAAACGTTGCAAACATCTACGCATTAATTATGCTGTGATGTCACACTGAAGATGTCAGTTTACCTTAAAAAGACTTGGAGTTGAAATAACTTGTTATTTCATTCTAAGTATGACATTTAAACATTGGCCTTAACAAGACTAATACTGGCCGAATCAGCGACAAAAGGTCATCGCCAATGATATATATATTTTCGAAAAACATATCTGTCACATCATGATTAACGATGCAACCAGGAATACAGTCAAAGGCAACCGATCTACGTGCACTGATTTGTACCTGATGAGCATCGCGTAAGTCATGACGTCACGCAAGAACTGTCATCTTATCCAAAACAAATAGGAAATGATGTAATAAGGTTTTTCCCACCTATTTGGAAAGTGACTTTTTCAAAATTCATTTCAACATTCCCGTTCCTGAGTGTAATTTGGCATTTGTTAGAACCACGAAAATATTAGCTTGATAATCACAAACTATATTTTGTATCTTCTCCGATCGATAATGACCGATCTTTTTGTTAACAAGGAGGATGTACACCATTTTGGCATGTGACGTCATCATCGCATCAGCAGCTGACTGGTCGCCATGGTAATTATGGTGATGAGTGCCAGTGGTCCCAAATGTCCGCTGAAAATGACAAAAGAAAATTAATACAAATATTATTTTTGTATATCAGTGTACACATAATCACAAGATATATGGATAAAATGTTATTAATAACATACCTAGATAAATGTAATAAATTCGTCTATAGATAAACACAGTCAAGTAAAGGGGGTATACAACAAACACGGTATGTCTATTGTGCGCAATAGTACATAAGGCAGCACATCAGCTATGAGACCCGTGAAGATCAGGGTTAGAATTGATCTTCAGTAACCCATGTTTGTTGTAAGAGGCGACTAACGGGATCGGGTGGTCGGGCTCGCTGACTTGGTTGACACATGTCATCATATCCCAATTGCGTAGATCGATGCTCATGCTGTTGATCACTGGATTGTCTGGTTCAGACTCGATTATTTACAGACCGCTTCCATATAGCTGGAATATTGCTGAGTGCGGCGTTACACAACAACCAACCAACCAACATCAGCTATGATTACGCTCCTGTTATATGCTAACGGTGACTTTATGAATGTTAGTCATCATGCACCCATGTGTGATGTAAAAATTAAATAAGCACGGAAGTATTTGATCTTGGTAATACCGTTTAGTTTTGAACCTTGTGTGTGTTGTGTTTCGCAGAAAGTTTTTAGCCTATAAATATTTTGACCACGTATGTAATTGCTCGGTCAGACCAAATTTTCAAGTACATACTTTCTTTGGCTAAAATTCAAAATACTGTCCAAAATATACTTCCCTTACAAATACTGAATTTAAAAAATGAATATAACAACTGTCTTTTATCGATCTGAGTTAACGCTGCATTCCTTAACATCTCGATGTCTTAATTCTCCGAGTATCGTGTTCCTGGCTGTTTAACGTACCTGGCGCTAGGACTCGCCATGATAGCATTGCATGTGTTCTCCATCCATGGCGGTATCCCACTGACCAGCCCCCTCCGCGAGGCAACGCGTCTGTTGTGGTCAAATATCACGTGACTGCAACATGAAATCAAGGACCGTGTTATAAATTACATTATTGCTTCGTCAAACTGACGTGAGCGTAAACAGATTACACAGATTTTCATTTATGATTAAATACAGTAGAAAATTCATGTTACAGTAGAAAATGTTGTTCGGTATTGATAGAATTCCGGATTAGTCAGAGGCCGGTTTCGACAAATGTCGCTGTATATCAACTTTGGAGTCTTTGAATGGCATTTAGACTTGATACATATAAAGGCAAGAATTGTATGGATGTCAACTCGCATTCTACTTGATGGACACGACGTTTCGGAGTATATATAGTCTTACTCCTTCATCAGGTGTATGGATGAAGTAGTAAGACTATTCTCCGAAACGTCGGGTCCGTCACTATATAAAGACTGACTGACTGACTGAGTTTGGTTTTACGCCGCTTTTTGCAATATTCCAGCAACATCACGGCGGGGGACACCAGAAATGGGCTTCACACATTGTACCCATGTGGGGATTCGAACCCGGGTGTTCGGCGTGACGAGCCAACGCTTTAACCACTGGGCTACCCCACCGCCCTCACTATAAAGAAGTTGCCATCCTTAAATTCTTGCCTTTATATCAACTTTGTCCTTATGTTTTACTTCTTTTACACAGCGAAACATGACGAAACTGTCTCGTCCTGGTGTGGATTCAAGACAGTCGATCACAGCCTAATATTTCACTGTGGAGATATCTTAGTCATTACAAACAACGCTTTATCCATATTTATAAACAATACATTATATTAATATGCAAACTTAGTCATGTTTGCAAACATCGCTTACCCATTGGACGTGATAAGGTAGTAGTTGTTATCCGTCCACCTGACCGAATACTGGACATCTCGGGGAACTCCGCGCCAGTTGGTCGAGATTTGGTAGGGCAGGGGTCGGGAGCTCTGAACTGTATCGAAATTGTAGAACCACCATTTTGTCGTCTGGAAGATTCAACAAGAACAACTATTATTCCCTAAATGTGTGAGTGAGTTGGGTCAAATTCCCAAAATGTAGAAACTCTTAAACGTGTATCAGTGAAAACTATGGGGATTCTTGCAAAGGGACGCAACCGCGACATGCAGCGCATTTGACGTCTGTGTCAAGTCAAAAACAATATTTAACGAAGACAAACAGACTTTTAGTGGCTTAAAAAAATAACTAGCAATCAACATGATACTCTGAGCGCAAAACTAAACATAATGACTTTACGTTTCCGAATTTCGACAAAGACAGAGAAGATAAATCTTTTGAACCTGGGTTGGCTGAGATGCAGTGATGCAGAAAACATATTTTATTCTTTTGGTATATCCATTTTACCAATTTCGGTGATATAATATCTGGTTTCTTGTTGTAGTTGAGTTGAGTTGAGCTTTACGTCACATCGGCATTTTTCCAGCCATATAGTGACGAGAACAAGTTTGCATTAGTAAATATTGTAAGTACATACTCGGAATGAGTTTTATTTCAAAGACATTTATTTATTGTATTGTCATTCGAAAGCAGAAAAAATCATAGCATCAAATTTATAGGCAGGCGGTTTGTTACATTTCATAGTTACAGTTTATGGTTGTTACATTTCACAGTTACAGTTTATGAGGTTTCTTGTTGTAAATAAGATCAGGAGTTTAACACGGGTGTTAATCAGGTCTGTGGAATACTGTAAGGGACATTCTCGCGATCTCACATTCTCGCAGTTTTGGCATTTTCAGCTTGTTTCCAAAGGTCGAGATCGCGAGAATATCCCTTACGGTATTCCATACAGATCTGGATGTATAAACAGAGGTTTCATTGTACCTACCCCAAACATAATGACCCTCGCCTTCCCTCTGTCGTCTATGAGGGACATAGTGAAGCGGGGAGCTTCGGGGAAATGATCCCGTCTGAACTCAAAAGGAAACCCTTCGTCAAGGGTGAGGTCTGTGTATCGCCATACTTGCTTGTCTGAAAACAGAAATTCCTTAGTCAGCTCCAATAGAATGAGAATGAGTTTTCGGCCCTATTCCCAAAATTCTACAAAAACTGTGTACACTTGCTGGGAATCAAACCCGGACCTATGGCCGGAGGAGCGATATTTTTACCACAACGCTACGCCACCGCAGAGTTCGAGCCTGGACACGGGTTCCACTCACCTTTAATGAGGTAGATTTTCGATGTTCTAGCTACAGAGAAGGCGATGTCAATCTCTGCCGGGGCTCCCTGGAACACCTCGTGGACACGTTTGGGGTAGCCTTCCTCCATGCCCCCGTCGTTGAACTTGAACACAGACCCTTCCTTGAAGGCGTAGTAAAAACGCTCGGGTCCTGGAAAAAGACAGAACTTGTGAACAGAGTCTTGACACAGGTCTGTTATTGTCGGTATGAGTGAGTTTAACGCCGCTATGAACAGTGTTTCAGTTTGAAAAGGTCGCCATAGTTTGATGTGAGTGACAAGTGAGTGAACTCTAAATTCTCGTTAAACTAGAACAATAATGGATATTGAGAAACATGTGGTCACAATCGGAAATCCTAAGATCGAATGGATCCTTACACGACAAAGGGACGCAACTTTTAAACCAGTTTACCAAAAAACAGGTAACAAAATGGTCTGGTTGTTTATGGTGTACATTGTTGCCTTTCCTTGACACATTTACGGTTTGAAATAAAAAAATAAAGTGTATCCTTTAGATATGACTGTTATTTTCTATATGGTCTAACATAGCCACGTCTCATCTGCGTACTCACCGGCCACGACGGAGTCGAAATCTACAGTGCAGGGCGGTGATGGTGTGGTCGTCGTGGTAGGAGTGGGAGTTGTCGGTGGACGGTAGGGGGCACGGGTGCGTGGTGGGAAGCGGGTACGGGGTGGTGAACGAGTGGCTGGCGTAGGGCGGGTCCGTCTGGGATTCACGGTATATCCAGGTCGGGAACCTGTGAACCATATAGAATATAAAAATATTTGTCTAAATAAACGCAACGTGTACTATACAGATTCAGTGTTTTCGATGCGAAATATTAGAAAGTTATGTACATAGATTGTAGATTTGTAGCGAGATCTCTGCGAGTTTGAACTTATTGGCAGTAACAACCATGTACTTCCAACCCAACGCACCTGCCCCTTCTCCCATGAACCAACCCCTCTTACCCTAGCCCAAACCTTCGATTCCCTACCCTAACTAACGCTCTAGGCCCCAACCCCTACCCCATCCACAATCATATTCATCCACCCATCCCAAGCACCTGTCCCTCATCTGTACCCTCCCCCAAATCCACAACTCCCTCCGTTCCAATCCCATGTTCCCCCAAACCATGTCTCTGCCTCCCTCAACTGACGGTTCCTGCACCAGAACCAACGCCAGTGCCCTTAATCGTAGCAACCTACCACGTCTCTGATCATCTTGCCCACAGCCTTACCACCAACCCAACCTCATGTACTCCAATCCATGACCCGCCCCTCGAACGTACCGTAAAGAATCTGAATTGCTCTGATGTCATCTTGTCCGAGGGTCAATGCATCCTGGCCCCTATAGGCGGGGAACATGAGCGCCCCCTGGTCGCGAGAATGTCCGAGACCCAGTGAATGACCAAACTCGTGCGCAGCTACGACCAACATATCTGACCCGTGGTCTGATTTCAGTGTCCAGTCCTCATCGTTGTCAAAATGGGCATCGCCTGAGATCTTGGCTTTGCCTGGACCAAAAGCATGGGCGAGGACTCGACCTGAGAACATCAATATCATATTTAAAACTTTCATAAAGAACAAATAAAAAGCAAAATAATTTTACAATTTATTCATTTTCCTTAATATTCAGTAAAATTATACTCTCTACTCTCTGGCAAATAACTTTACTTAATCCATAATGAGCATCATATTGCTAAAAGCGGCGTAAAACAAAACTCAGTCGGTCATAATGAGCACCATGCTCACTATATCGATCACTGGTTTGTCTTGACAAGACAGTTTTACAGGCTATAGTCACATTCCTGAATATTGCTGAATATGGCGTTACATAACTGACAAAACGTATTGTTACTATTGTCCGTCCTCGTTAATTTTTGCCACAGTGTGTTTTAGAATGTATATTTAAAAATGTAAACATATTAAAATCAGCTGTAGTCTTATTTCACAAGTAAATGCATCAAAATATGTCTTACTTCTTCCATCAAAGGCGTTACCCCTGCCGTCTCCGTGTTCACCGCTAGCAAAGAAAATCTCCATATCAGGGTTTCCTGTTGTTTCCGTGATTCTCAGAGGCGCCACATTTTCCCATATCTTAAACGCTTCCCGTATCGTCCTTCTGAAATACCGAACAGACATACGGAGTGTTATACAGATATCTGAAAAGTGATATACATACGCATTTCTCCTGGTTTAGAACACACGAAATCGACATTGCATTTCCAGCCGAATGTGAGACTGGACACAGCATCAATGCTGCTGATCTTCGCAGCCAGGGATAACATTTTAATGATCATAATTCGCGATTTAAGAGTTCTCAAATAGCTATCAACTAAGGACAGCGTCATCCGTATCAAAGTCAGTAACAACTGTATGGAATTTTTTGTCAATACTTGAACGATTTCATATTTTCTACAACTTCAGATTTTTTGTTGTTGCTTTAGTAAATATTAAGATTGCATTATTATAGGTCCCAAGTTACACTGGGTCATTCCTGCATAACCACCGGAGTCTTCCTGTGAAGGTCCGGGTTAGAATTGATCTTCAGTAACCCATGCTTGTCGTAAGAGGCGACTAACGGGATCGGGTGGTCAGGCTCGCTGACTTGGTTGACACATGTCATCGTATCCCAAATGCGTAGATCGATCTTGTGCTGTTGATCACTGGATTGTCTGGTCCATACTCGATTATTTACAGACCACCGCTATACAGCTACAATATTGCTAAGTGCGGCGTTAAACAATAGCCAAACCAAAACACTGGGGTGTGCGAGGTACAGAAATACTGGTTTGGGTTGTTTTCACTTACTTCTGGTCGTCAGTTCTCAGCTTGTAGGTAGGTTTCGTCAACTTCCAAGTGAGTCGAGGATTTGACCATTTTGATCCTGAAGAAGACGGCAATAGTTATAAATAGTTCTCGGGAACACGTCAGTCACGCAGTATACAATGAAACTTTGACCGAATTCTATATGTAGACTATAACGTCAGCTGCCATCTCTCAATGACATGCTGTATCATATATATCACATCCGGGTTACAATTGGTCATCAGCAACCCATGCATGCCTCGTAAAAGGCAACTGATGTGCTCTGGAAATCAGACTCGCTGATCGTATTGCCATGGCATTGTAACTGCTTAGATCGATGCTCATGATGTTGATCACTGGATTATTTACAGACCGCCGTCATATAGCTGGAATATTGGTGATTGCGGCGTTAAACCACACACAAATGAACATTCAAGAGATGCATGGACATGTTAAAACATGCTATAATACATACCTAGATGTGTGTATCGAAAAGCGGACCTTTTCTTGCGTATGTCATCATTTCGTTCCTTGTCTGGCACACCGCATCTCGGTAACTTCATCATGCGCATCGTCTTATGGTCAACTTCACCAGTCTCCTTCAAACCATAGAAATACTGAAAGTCTCTGCAATGGAACAATACATTGTTAATGACAATCACAATGACGGGCTTCCCCCTCTTCATGCAAAAACAAATAATAATAGTCCGTTGATTTTAGACAAACCTGCTGTCATAATACAAACACACGCGCACAACCATACACAGCTGCAGATATTCTTGTTTGTATGTTATTATGTTCAATTCGTTTAATGGTTAATATAGAATGCCAGTCCTACAAGATAACCTGTATCGATTGTCCAGCGAAACGGATTCCGCTGGACAAAATCTCACAGTTGATGTGGAAGTCTATGGATGGGTCACTGAGAATCACTAATGGCACCAAGTTTCATCGAAAAGAGTAAGTACATTGTGTCCTACAAACGACGAGGAACGAATTATATTCTTGATAACTTCGACAGGGGCTGGGCTATTGTTTTCGGAGGATAATATGACTGATTCCTTTTGACACACTACATAATAGATTATGTCCGGGGTTATTCAATACTGGTGGTTAGGTCTAGTGGTTAAAGTGTTTGCTCGTTACGCCGAAGATCCAGGTTCGATTACATGGTGAAATAATTGACGTCCATTTCTGGTGTCACACATCTTGATAGTGCTTGAATATTGCTAAATGAGGCGTAAAGCCACACTCACTCACTCACACACGAGTTCAATACTTTAAAGAAAAAAAACTGTATGAACAACACTATACAGTTGGTAATCACATTATTTACGTATTTGTGCGAATATTATTCTTGCAAAATCATACCGTTTATACAACAAATATTTACTCGATTTCGAGGGACCGCCATCAAGATTATTAAACTATCTGTAAGTTCCCACCACACGAAAGCCTTTTCAGGCTATAAGAATTGTAGTCTGAGCATTTCATAGAATATTTTGTTTAAATTTCTTATAAGCCCACCGATATAATGCTAGCACGATAACAGCTTGCGACAGATAACATGGAGATAGCTGTTGACACGTTATGTTCATGGATTTAGGGGAAGACTTCTGCATTTCTCACGAATGCTTTACACATTAGAAATATGCTTTCGTGACCCACAATAACTTCTTGTAAGCAGGCCACAGTGCCCTCAAATTATAACTTGGTTTAAATAGGTTGCGCACTCATGCTTTCATATAAAAAGCGCAGACCTAGAGGCGCTCCTTGTCGTATGCCTACTTTAATTGCGTAGCGTTAGACATGTCTTGAATACTGTGGTTTTAGTAGGAGCGACTGTGTGCATGGTTTACAAAGGGATTGACGGACTTAGGGTGGTTGTTTTGTTCGGAGTGGAACATTGTCGGTTTGTGGAGTCGATAATGAAGAATTCGGATGTAGGTCTCCCCAAACAGATTATCACCATATAGACGTGTTCAATGTACTGCGGCCATTTGGGTGATAGAAACTATGTTTAAATCAGGTTTTAAACCCTTCAATGCAAAGGAAACTATATTATATGTCAGTTTTACGATGCAGTAACCAACAGAGAGGGAACACAGATTTAGTTCGTTATAACCGTGGTTCGGCTTTCGACTTAAATATACAGCAGAACCAGAAACAGTTCATTATAAGCATGTTCGTTGTAAACCCAGTTTACTGTATTTACATTTACATACTGTATTTACATTTACATACTGTATTACATTTACATACTGTATTACATTTACATACTGTATTTACATTTACATACTGTATTACATTTACATACTGTATTTACATTTACATACTGTATTACATTTACATACTGTATTTACATTTACATACTGTATTACATTTACATACTGTATTTACATTTACATACTGTATTTACATTTACATACTGTATTACATTTACATACTGTATTACATTTACATACTGTATTACATTTACATACTGTATTTACATTTACATACTGTATTACATTTACATACTGTATTTACATTTACATACTGTATTTACATTTACATACTGTATTACATTTACATACTGTATTACATTTACATACTGTATTACATTTACATACTGTATTTACATTTACATACTGTATTTACATTTACATACTGTATTACATTTACATACTGTATTTACATTTACATACTGTATTACATTTACATACTGTATTTACATTTACATACTGTATTACATTTACATACTGTATTTACATTTACATACTGTATTACATTTACATACTGTATTTACATTTACATACTGTATTACATTTACATACTGTATTTACATTTACATACTGTATTACATTTACATACTGTATTTACATTTACATACTGTATTTACATTTACATACTGTATTACATTTACATACTGTATTTACATTTACCGTATCATCGCGTGGGGCGGTAGGGTAGCCTAGTGGTTAAAGCGTTCGCTCGTCACGCCGAAAGCCCGGGTTCGATTCCCACATGGGTATTACCCACAATGTGAGAAGCCCATTTCTGGTGCCCCCGCCGTGATGTTGCTTAAATATTGCTAAAAGCCATACTCATTTACTCACTCGATCATCGCGTATCTGTCTCATATTAAGAAATGATGTAATATATCTTCAATCCATGACAAACATAATAGCATGTATCATAGTTTTAATTTTTTAAAGTTCTACCTCATCAAAACCTACACACACAAGCCGCCAGTTGAATCTAGTTGAGGTTTGAATATCTAGGCCGCATTCCACAACATCATCACAATAACCCCCCAACAACCAGTCATGCGAGATGAGGATGTATACCACATTCCTGCATATTACTCCGTACAGGTGTATTCAAAGACATGTACAACACACGACCTTCACACTGTTACACTCGACAGACATTGTCATCTGCCCACCTGTGCACGTTTAACACTTAAACAAAAGAATCCCATATTCTGTGCAGGGTCCACGTGTACATATTGACGGTAATAATATCAACACCCGTATCAAACATATCAATTTTTATATTAAGAACTGAAAACAACTTCTTCGAGGGGAATTTAGAAGTTGGAGCAGGAAGTATAACAATATATGCATTAACTCTCCACAGGGATTCTAGGACAAAAACACTATACAGCAAATGACTGAGCAAATCGACTTACTTGACTGCATCTTTAATCTGCAAATCTCTGTCAAATACTGATCGCAGCTCATCTCCAACAATTCCTGCCGGGATATTATCCATGTAACCAAAGTCCTTGAGAAATCCCTGAAAATATCAGACAGAGTTCTTACGGTGATTCATCGTAGTTATACAGCTTCTCGAACAATGGGATGAAATCGATAACCATCCAACTTCTGGCTCTCCCTATATGGCCGGGATATGACGATATTACTCTTACAGCTCGTTTATGATTCACTGAGTAAATACACTAACATAGCTTTATGAATTTACCGTGAATCATTGATGACATGTTGCATAACAGGCCAGCGTCTTGAGGGTTTTATACGGTTGGGTTAAACTGCCTATTGACGTGGCTGTTTCTAAATCACTAAATACATGTAAAAAATTGAAAAATTAACGTCAGTGATTTCTAGTTAAATTATTAAAAAAAATTAAATCAGATTATCTTACCTCAACATCAAAATCATGAACAAGGTTTATTGGCCTCCTCCTGGACCGTTTGTCTCTCTCGGAAGCAAGTCCTTGCACAGTAATAACAAAACATGTTACCAACAGGCACAAACATTTCATAGATCCTTTCATATTGTCCAAGTAACCCACATACGAATAAATAACGGGTTTGTATAGTAGAACAGTGTATGTATGATCCTGGTGGCCTCGTGTCTTCTGAGCCAACGTGTGCTCGCACTCGCTTAAGAAGGCTATCCCGTTGATGACTCACAGCCCTCGTTTCAGCCAATCAGAGCGTGGCTCGAGTTAGGGATATCCTTTCGTCATCAGTTGCGCAGGGATGTAAGAAATACGACATTAGTTAACCAAGGAGTGTGATATGTAAAAGAAAAAAAAGGATATAATTTAACGAATTTATTTTCAGCTAAAGTAACAAAACTGCCTTTCGTTTAAACGCATTGACCCTATTGGGTCACGTTAAGTGAAACATTGTGTTCTTGCAGTTTTCCCTGAATTTGTTGGTTGTATATTTGTGTAAGACTATGGTAAGTAAGTTCGCTGTATTATCCAGTAATAATCCAGTAGATTGTGATACAAAATATATTTGTATAATTATATTTATGTTGGTGTGATATTTGAATACTTCAATAATACCAGTAGGTCATGAATTATGAACATAGAAACACGCAGAACGACAATCATTGACGTTTGCAATTACTCATGTAATGATTACGTTTAGATTTCACGTGAATAAGTATTATTCAAATAATCGAAATAAACGTATTTTGAAAGAATATAATATTCATATATAGATATATTTAAACTAAATGCAAATACATATCTAAATAATACGTTTTAAACTGATGATAAATATTTCTCTAAGTAACATTAACAGGCAAACGATGTCGCAAGGACTATTTCCCTTGTATCGTGCTCGACACTGCTATGGCGTAGTAACACTGGTTTGTCAAGATGTCTCCCTTAAAACTAAACTGGAAGGGACGCAGTCAGACTTCAGAAAAAGGGTGACCCTGCATTTCTGTCCCCGAAACCTGAGAAATAAGTCACGATGCAGGAATTAAACTTTATTGGATGTGGGTGACACGGATTGTGGTGTAGGATGGGGAGGTTTATTTCATACACCCACTACACCCGTCCTCCATACTCATTCAACTATGGCATGTCTTTTTATGGAAGTATTTCCATGCTTGACTGCGCCAGCTCTGACCCTCATAAATGACACTTCTGGATTAAAGGTTATAAATATGAAACGCCATTGCCATAGAATAAACGGACTCGATATACCGCCAAAACCGATTCCACTGGGCGTAACAGAAAAACATGTGTGATTATATTAAGGATTAACTGAACGTTAGTGAATGAGTATGGTTTTACGCCGCTTTCATCAACATTCCACAGTGGGGGAAAACAGAAATGGTCTTGACAAACTGTATCCATGTGGGGAATCGAACCCGGGTCTTCGGCGTGACGAGCCAACGCTTTAACCAATAGGCTACCCCACCGTCCCTGAAAACACCGGGTGTTCATGAAAAGGGTAAGCATGTTCTGTCCAATACGAAGCATCACCACTTACAAGTTTCAATAAAACGTTAGCGTCCTATGTATAGTCGGCAGTGTTGACGCCACGAGACCGGCGGTCTGTAAACAAACCAAACAATCAAGATAAAATGGACCAGAAAAACAAGTAACACTTGAGCGGCTTTAATGATAGCATTACCCTCAAACTAAACTAAATTTAGTTTCCTTTTCATGAAGATGTTTAGATTTCGTGTACCCACTTACTGTCTGTATGATGTCCGTATTCAGAACATGCCTCCAAATGGGTTTTTAACTCTAACGCGTGTGCGGAACAAAGACGGAGTGAATTCAATATGTGAGGAAATTTAATACGTAGAATGTTCTCCAGTGAGTATTTTTATCACAAAGCAATTAACAGTGACTGTTTTAGGTTTAGTCGGTCAGCAGCTTGGCGTATTGAAAAGAAAAACGCTTAAAAATTCAAACTTCATTCTGTTTCTTACTGTAAAATATAAATTTGCCTAAAACCCGACTCACTCACTCACTATAAGAATTTAATTGGAACTTTCCATAAACATTCTACTGCATGTTAATGTTCGAGCTAGCTTTTGGGAGTCGCTTCTGTCAAATAACACTGTCGACTTAGGGCCTGTTCGATTATTGCGAAACTGGTTTTGATTTTTGAAACTGGTTTCTCCTGTTATAAACGAGTGTCTATTTTCGGATACATGGTTTCAAAGTGAACTAGTTTCTAGGTTTATAAACGAGTTGATGGTTTCACCATCCGGTTTCAAAATGGATACCAAAAAATGTCTCATCTACTGTATATGAGGAACGAATTGGATGACAGCATATGTTTTCCATTTTATCAGTGAATTAACAAATAATAAAGAGATGAGATGCTTTTGGAGGTAAATATTTGCGTATATGTAATTATACTGTTACAAGTAGTTATATATATACAAGTTACATAAAATAGTCATGTTCAAACATAGACTGTTTTTTTAAAATAATATTTAAATGAAACTGCGAAACCTGCCTCGGAGATGGTTTCGAAGTTTCAGAACCCAGTTTTAGGTTTCGACATGATCGAGTGCATGGTTTTCCCGAAACCAAAACCGGTTTAGCATAATCGAATAGGCCTTTAGACTGGGATGCAGTTACTTAAACAGTGATAAATATAATCGTTTCATTTCCGATAATGCTTCTTGTTCCTGGTCACATGACTATGAGGATGCTTTCCACTACTTCTTCATGTGTCCTACACACAATAGCATTCGATATGAATCATTTTTTTATGAGAAATGTTTACCATATACGGTATATGCTAAATATATCAGCTGTGAAACATAAGTGAGATAATTTGTTAATATTCAAGATTCCTATAATTCAGAGATAGCTTGCTCTTATTTTCACAGCTTGTTATAATTTTATTATGTACAACATTATACATAAATGTGAACATGTACATGTGATATGGAGCGGCATTAATATAAGCCATTTAGGCTTGTTTGCCAATCTTTTTTTCTGAATAAACTATGTTTAAGCCATGTTAATGCCTCAAGCTTCGATTTACACTACAAAATGATTTCTTATACCTACGCTTTCCACGTCTATATTCATGGACATATTAAATGATTTATGTAAATATATGTGTATTGGTATGTCTGCCCGTTAGTGATAGATTATGGAATAACCATCAACAATTTACAAAACCAGAACATGTGATTGTTCGTTGTGATAATAAGAACTGGCCGTCCTGGCGTGACCGTTGAGGTCATATTTTCAGTACAGAAGGTATGGCCATCCCGGGTTCTTGAAACACAATGTCCAGTCACTCTACTTAGTGACCACAGTACTCCCGTACTAACACCGACAAAGTACTGAACACACGCGACGAGTGCAGTATGCTGAACCATGGCAGTAACACAAGTACAAGACATTTGACTCGGTAATATAGGCACTTATACAATGCAGACCACTCGCCTCGTGACCCGCAGCTCTTGGTGCTTGGGTCACGAGAACGATCAAATAGCCATACACTAATGAGTAAAACCGTACTTGGTTCCAGTCCCAACTTCCTCCCAATTAGGACACTGAACCACCCTGGCCTGGGTGGGGATATCGTAGCGTGGGAGGATGGTATTTGATATCTGACGGTCATGGATTTGCATAAGTGCTAAATATATTTAATTCAAAATTAAATTATCATTGTTCTGTGTATTAGCTTTTTTCGCCTTCTTTTTTGAAGATAGATACCGAGCGGTTATGTCATAAACTGCCTAGGCGTAGTAACGTGCAAGTCCCTATTTTCTCTCTCCGCCTCATGCTCTATCTTCCTTTTCCGCCTCCCCCACTGTATCTGAGTCTCACACTGTATCATCTCACATCTATCTTTCCGTCTCACCATATCTCTTTCTCCATCTCACCTCCCTATCTGTCGGTCTCACCCTCTATCTCTCAGTCTCCATATCTCTCCATCTCATCCAACACATCTCTCATTCTCACCTATCTTCTCTTTCTGTCCCACCTCTATCTCTCACCTACCTTCTCTCTCCGTCTCACCTCTATCTCTCATCTATCTTCTCTCTCCGTCCCACCTATATCTCTCACCTATCTTCATTCTCCGTCCCACCTCTTTCTCTCACCTACCTTCTCTCTCCGTCCCACCTCTATCTCTCACCTACCTTCTCTCTCCGTCCCACCTCTATCTCTCACCTACCTTCTCTCTCCGTCCCACCTCTGTCTCTCACCTACCTTCTCTCTCCGTCCCACCTCTGTCTCTCACCTACCTTCTCTCTCCGTCCCACCTCTATCTCTCACCTACCTCCTCTATCCGTCCCACCTCTATCTCTCACCTACCTTCTCTCTCCGTCCCACCTCTATCTCTCACCTACCTTCTCTCTCCGTCCCACCTCTATCTCTCACCTACCTTCTCTCTCTGTCTCATGCTTTTCCTTCCCTCTATGTTTCACCCTTTATGTCTTCATCTCATCCTCTATCTTCTCTCTCCGTCTCACCCCCTGTCTCTTCATCTCACCTTTTATCTCTCCCCTTACATCCGCGATCAATCTCCGTTTCACCTTCAATATCTCTCCGTCTCACCCTCTCTCACCCTCTCCTACCATATCTCTCCATCTCACACTCTTTCTCTCCGTCTTACCTCCATCTTTCTACCTACTAACACTCTACGTTTCTCCCTCTAACTCTCTCCATCTCTACCTCTATCTCTCTTTCTCGCCCTCTATCTCTATCTCTCATTGTATATCCTTCCGAATTTCCTTGTGCCCCTGTCTGACCGGCCGTGTAGAGCACTACTACAAGATTGTATCATTACAATGTCTGTTTTTTCAGTAGAGATGTTGTATGGAAAGGGGTTCTATTGTCACCGATATCCTCCAGGAAATAACAACCAGGAACTGGCCATCAGTATCGCTTGATCATGATTGGAGTGTGTGTGTCTGTAAATGTGTCTGACTGTCTGTGTCTGTCTGTGTCTGTCTCTGTGTCGGCGTGTATGTGTCTGTCTGACTGTTTGCGTGTATGTGTCTGACTGTCTGTGTGTCTGACTGTCTGCGTGTATGTGTCTGATTGTCTGTCTGTGTGTCAGTCTGTGAGTCAGTCTGCCTGTATGTGTCTGTCTGTCTGTGTCTGCCTGTGTGTCTGCGTGTATGTGTCTGTCTGACTGTTTGCGTATAT